GACTAAAAAAACTGAACTATGTACTAATTAAATATGTATACAACATGTTCTGTATTACATTGTCTGAAAGATGACTAAATAAACATTATTATTATTATTATTATATGCAAAATAAGAATGCATCATACTGTATACAAAATAATGACAGTTATAAACTTATAAGCATTTATAAACAATAAACTCATCATTATAACTCAAACTAAGTCAGACACACTTAATTACAGTTAGACACAGTAAATGCATTTAAATAATTGATTAGATCTTATTACCTCAATTCTGGGCAACACACTTTATGTGTACATGGCCATCAATACTATAAATTAAAATTTAAACATTATTGTTAAAATAAAATGTATGTAACTAAATTGTCACTTACTATTATATGAATTATCCAGTTCAATTTTGTAAAGTAATTTAATGAATGTAATAAATTAAAAGTTTTAATTAAATCATTTATGTTTACGTGTTGTATGCTGATGAAGGGCCAAGGTTTATTTGCAATATTCCACGTACTGCAATAAAGTGTGACAAAGTGTACTAGATTGTGTTAAGGACTTATAATAAGAAAAATGCCTATTTAAGTGCAAAACGAGTTATATTGCAAGAGTAATACTTTATGAAAGTTATAGAAATTAAAAATCTACCTGTTTTTCATTTAATGTTGGTTAATTTTAAATATTATAATTTAGATATTGATATATTTCATAATGGTAATAATTAATTCAAATTTTATCATTTATTGTGCTTTTGGCTTAAAGTTAGTAATCGCGTGCCATTGTTTTGATTACGAACATAATTTACACCTTAATCGATGCGATAATTGCCCACAAATGCTTGGAGTAAAAATAAATGCTAGCCAGGTAATTTATTTTGTACAAACATATATGATTTATTATAAATTATAATATACTAATATTTTGATTATGGGCTTATGGTATGAATTAGCAATATTCCCAAACGTTCCTGGCCAGATTAGTAAATGTAATAAAGTTCATCTCAGTACTACACCGGAAGATGAATGGGCCTTTACATTCACTGCCACTTCGTTACGGTGAGTAAAAATTACATTAAAAATTTGATAAATAAATTAATTTTATTAAACAAGCAAATGTAAATAATTTTTTAATTTAGTGGAGGTGGACAAGCTAAATTAGGGCTAAGCGGTTTGCCAATGAACAAAGCTGCTATTCCAATTCGCATGCAAATTGAGCTTAGCAATCCGAGATTTGGTATGCTCCCCTAAATGTTTAATATGAACAAGTTCAATTATATAATTATATTTTATAATAGAAATATTCGGGACTGTTCTGGACACTGATTACAAAACATACTACTTGTCCTACTTTTGTCAGACAATTAATTCTGTTAAACATGGTATTTATATTTTAAACTGGATACAGTATATTTACATTTAGAATTAATTAAATTTAAACATCTTATTTTAGAGCACATATATTTATATGGTCGGGGACCAAATATAAATGCCCTATCGCCAAATACAACGGACCACGTAAGGGACCTTGTTAACTCTGTTGAAGGATTATCGGCAAATGAGTACTATTTGTTTATTCAAAATTGTTCAAGATAAATTTTTGCTGTAAAATATATTTTTAATTCATTTTAAAATGAAAATATTTTATACTTTTGTAATTATGTATAAACCTTTTATTATATGCTTTATAATTTTTAATATTTTATAAATTAATTTATAATAAAATTTTACTTAAAATTTTACTCAAACTTCATATTAATTATTATAATGTGGTCAGTATTTAATAATTGTTTTATTTACAAATTATATATGGTTATACACATGTAAGAGACTTGTTAAAATAATTATCATAATTATTCAATAAGCATTTAATCATAAAGAAAATTAACTTATTGAGTTTACAAACATTTTCAAAGTTTAAGTACAAAACACACATGATTTAAAAGCTTAATTAATATAATGTTATAATGAAATTGCAATATCAATGGTAAACACTTTATAAAATATATGAAAATATCATAAGTTTTAGTTAAACTCGTTTTTACATCTAGCGATATTGCAATATTTGCTTTACTCTCATGATTTCTTATAACATGATAATTTACTTTTCAATTGTAATAATTGATTTATATTTTATTTATTGAAGTTTAATATAAAATATGTGGGTACTTATATCTTTATAGAAAAACTTTTTAAAACCAAAATTACATTGTATGTAAAGTTCTTACATTGAAGTTTATACAAGAATATACCATTAGATTAGTTATACAGTATTATTGTACTTATATAAAGTATATTGGTAAAATCAGTATTTTAATTTAGATTTCTGCATGTAATAATAAACAAAATTTTCTCAATGTTCTTTATTATTGTTCAAATCCAAAAATGGTTCTAGCTTAAGCATTTCATTATAGCGATCGAGAAATGTGCACACTTTCCAGTGGCCGCCAATAATATACAGACACCGGCGGGCAAACAGTCGGGTGTCAGCCGATGGCCAGTCGGCCGACTCTATCTCTC